TCATCTTAGATAAGAACGGTCGCCGATCAGATCCTGCCAACATCGAAATCATTCAGAAGATGCCTTCATCAACTGATGTTCCCTCATTATGATCCTTCTTGGGGTTAATCAGTCACTACAGCACATTCCTATCTGAAATTCATCGAGTGAGAGGTCCCCTAAGTGAATTATTACCAAAAGATAAACCTTAGCGATGGTCGCCCCCCAGATGCCCTGGTATGGCCGAGAGGGGTGGGCCTGCCCTCCCTCTCGAAATGCTCTCACACGGCCACGCGTATACAGCCTCTGCCAGGGAAGTCCTACTCACCGCCTTCTCGCACCACGGGTGTTGTTTACGAAAATGAGAGGACGAAGAATGAATGTCTGGCGCTTTAACCGGACCCCAAACCAATGGTGCACATGGGCTCCAGTATCCTGAGGGAACAAATGGCGTATGAACCAATCGTTGGTCACTGGCTACCATGGGACTGCATCTGCTCACGATGTTCCACTGCCTTGTGCGTCAGACCTTTAGGTCAAAGGCTCGGGGTGTGGCCCCCTGAGAAAACCACCTGCTTCGGTGTGGGAACCCGAGCAGTATCACAGCCCACACGCAAATAAAATGAAGATGACGATATTTACTGAAAATCGTATTCACGCTTCGATTAGCAGTCAAACAATTCACATTATTATTATTATTATCATTATTATTATTATTATTATCATTATTATTATTATTATTGACCACGTCACTTATTCACTCTCCTATTCCCACTTTGTATATCCTTAATTTTCGACTAATATAGCAGCTCGGTTATGGTTGAAACTCGGTTCTATCTAAACGTTCTCGAGTTACTGCCTGGTTGAAAATAGTATGTTACCACTGAATATGAGTACTGAAGTAGTTTTTGCCTTCAACGTTCGCACACTTATGCAGGTCCGACAACAGATAGGGCTGGCTATGTCCTTGGAAAGTCTTAATATCGATGTTTTGTTGTCTATTCGAGACCCGTATTCAATACTCTGGTGAAGTACTACTAATTCGCTCACCATCTGTCGCTTCGAAAAGCTTGTTTTATGTGCGTTTATTCGGGGACCCTGTGGCATCTTCGTCTGGTCTCGCTGGCGTTGGTGTCGCACTAAGCGCTAGAGCTGAGGCAGCACTAATCGATTGGATCCCCATTAACAGTCGGTTATGTGCTGTTAGATTAGAGAGTTCCATCAAAGTGAGAAGAAATCGGCGTGAGGAACGATGTCTTTTCGTCATCTCCGCCTATGCCCCGACAGATTGCAGTCCGGATGCAATCAAGGATGAGTTTTACCACCAGTTATCTGTTCTTCTCCAGAAAGTGCGTTCGACAAATATTGTAGTACTAGCCGGAGACTTCAATCCTTAGGTCAGGCGTCTAGGCACAGAAGATAATCGTTTAGGTGGCCGACGGGGGCTTGTTGATCACAGGACAGACAACGGGGACCGTCTACTGCAACTGTGCACAAACCACAACCTGTTTCTGGCTAGCACTAACAGCACTTACAGTCATCGCCGATGTGCCACCTGGCGTCCTCTTTCTGCATCTCAAGCTTGAACTCAGATTGGTCACATCACGATCAGCTACCGCTGACGTGGTTGTGTACAAGACTGCCGCTCCTTTTGGAGTACCTATCTGGATTCTGATCATGCCCTGGTCTGCGCCAATCTTACCTTACTTTTCAGTGGACAACGAAGTGACCGCCACCAAAGGATTGATGTCAGTAAGTTGGTTGCAAGTAAGTATCGAACCGAGCTAGCTTCTAGGCTAGCTACCATCCCACCGAAAAGTATAGATGAGCATTGGTTGCAACTTCATGACGCCATCAAAATGGCGAGTAAAGCCGCTTGTGGCTTCGCGAAACGTCTCGGTTATAAGCACTGTTTTTTTTCTTGTTCCTTACAACTCATTGAAGCCCGTCGGTATACTCCGGGTGACCGTGAGCTTGACCATAAACGAAGGATGTTACGTCATGAAATTGGGCAAAGCTTGCGTAAGGACCAAGAAGCCTGGTGGTCGGAGCGTGCTAATGAGCTGGAAGCAGCAGCTGCATCTGTTAACTACCGGAAGTTCTTCCAACTCATCCGAGCCACTGGCAGCAAGAAGTCTGGTGTGAGTGAAACAATCTGTGAGGATGACAGGATGCCAACCATTAACATCCATCGACGTCTTGGACGATGGGCAGAATTTTTCGAAGGGCAGTTCAACTGGCCTGCTGCTCCGGCAACATCGGTCAGATTGTTCTGCCCCCCATAGCCGGTGACGACTGATCCACCAAATGAGGCGGAAGTCCGCAAGGAACTCCAACTCTTGAAGCGTTACAAATCACCTGGCCCAGATGACTTACCCCCGGCTCTTTTTAAAGATGGTGGTGACTTTCTGACCAAGGAACTGACCGCGTTGTTTACAAAGGTCTGAGAACTAGAGAGTGTACCAACGTCATGGAGTGAGTCGATAGTTGTTCCTATCTTTAAAAAGGGTTCACGTCGTTCCTGTAACAACTATCGGAGGATAAGTCTACTTCCGATTGCGTCCAAGCTATTGGCTTCCGTCATACTTCGTAGGTTGTTCAAAACCCGAGAAAGATTGACTCGCGAGGAGCAGACTGGGTTTCGTTCTGGTCGAGCATGTATTGATCATATCTTCACCCTCCACCAAATGTTAGAACACCGCCATACTTATCAAAGGCCAACAATCGTAGTGTTTCTTGACATTAGGGGCTGCCTTCGATTCGTTGGATAGGACTGTTCTCTGGGATTGTCTATTGAAGAAGGGTGTGTCTGAGAAGTTTATTAACATCCTAAAGGCCCTATATAAAAACACCTCAGGCAGAGTGAGGGCATACAACCACCTCTCTCCATTGTTCCATTCGAGCAGTGGGGTTAGGCAGGGTTGCCCAATCTCACCATTCCTCTTCAACGTTGCCATCGATGACATTCTGGAAACAGCTCTGATGAATGTAAGTAATGGTGGTGTGGATCTGTTGCCTGGAGAAAGACTTCTCGGCCTTGAGTATGCGGATGATATTGTCTTAGTGTGCGATAACGCCCAAGCCATGCAATCCGCACTTAATCAGTCGGCAATTAATGTCCGTAGGTACAGTATGTGATTTGCACCTTCCAAGTGCAAAGTACTTCTACAAGACTGGCAGGATTCTAATCTTGTACTCACCCTGAATGATGAGCAGATAGAAGTAGTCGAGAAGTCCGTGTATCTGGGTAGCTGCATAAGTGCCGGTGATGGCGTGAGTGATGAGATCAATCCACATATGATGAAAGCCATAGCGGCTTATGCCAATCTGGGCCATCTTTGGCGCCTTCGTGATGTTGGTCTAGCTGTAGAAGGTCGGATCTACAACGCGTCGGTGAGAGCAGTTCTGCTTTGTGATTGTGAAACCTGACCTCTCCGAGTTGAGGATGTTAGACAACTCTCTGTGTTTGGTCATCGTTGTGTCCGAAGGATTGCTGACATCCAGTGGCAACACCATGTTAGTAATGCAGAGGCTCGGCATCGTGTGTTCGGCACAGAGACGATAATGCAATTGGTGTCACCATCTTGAGACACCGACTTCGGTGGCTTGGACATGTCCTACGAATGTCGTCCCAGAGAATTCCACGTCGTGCATTATTTGCCGACTCTGGGACTGGTTGGAAGAAGCGGAGAGGTGGTCAGTATGGTGTCGTTGTATGAAAGAAAGCTGCAAAGGACTGGCTTGTGTTGGTCCTTCACGACTCTGGCTGGGGTCCGAAAGATGGTGCTACACAGTGACTAGAGACGTTATTATATATGGCTGAGAATAGAAGCCAGTGGCGATCTTGCTGTAACCTTATTTTACTTTCTTCATAAAAAGTGACCGTAGCCTCTTTAACTGAAAGGATTCTTTCTGGTTGTACCTTTCTGTTTCCCCATTATTATTATTATCATTATTTCACTACCATACACTAATTTGTGTTCGTTATTGTCCTTTTTTTATTTTCACACGCACCTTACACGCTTTATCTCTTCCCTTTCTCATTATTATTGTGTGACGCATATGTATCTGGTGCCCCTTTGTACTAATACTTATGTGTTCAAATAAATAAACTTTTGACATTCTGCTAAACACCTTTGAAATCAAAACGCCTGGAACAAACAGGCCAGTTACTTGGTTGTAGTTGGACCCTAGCACCAGATCCTACGAATTTGCTCAAAGGGAGGTGTCAGTGGGACAGATTTGATTAAAGCATGTTCCATGCACGATGATTGACTAGTTCTTGTCCAATTAGTGCTGGCTAGTACTTGGAGAAGACTCTAGAATCTTCTCATGTAAAAATGTTAAGTATACTAACATTTTTCTTATTGTGCTTCTTACTTTCATCTACCCTTGTTATTAGGAGTATAATTTTGTTCCTGTTCAACCGTGTTCTGATTTGGGGACTTGTCGAGTGAAATGGTGTCCAACAATACTAAGCAATGGGAACAGCTGGGTTGTAATGAGAGAGAATCACAACACATATCGATCTTTGGAATTACCTGTCTAATAAAAAACAGTACAGGGTGTCATAGACTCTTCATAAAATTAATTTTTATTTGTTTACTGTGTAATTTTCTGAAGTTGGATGTCGACATATTCGAGCGTGTTTAGAAACTGGCTGATCTCAATGCTCTTGGCAGTCACCCTTAAGAATATGAGACTTAGTAGCCAGCTACCGTTTGTATTTTTGCACGTGGACGATATTTCCTTTTGCTGCTCAACTCTTTCCTCGCTCTGTTATTTATCTTATGCTATAGGAGTGGTTATTGAGTATGTAAGTATTGAGTTTTAGGTATCTTTACCCGCATGTAATTGTTTTGTGTATGGTTTGACAGCAGTATTATCAGAATTTACAGAATTTGTCACACGTATAATCCATAACTACGTATTGCATGGATCTGTTACACTACATGTGTTTCGGATTTGTTTATAACGCTTTTATCTATCAAGCATTCAATCAACGTCTCTTGTTGTTGTAGTTTCTTGGTATTTCCATCGACGTATGAGTGCGGGTGATCGTCGCCAACTGACTGGGTTTTTCAACCCTGAGTTTTATGGACTTCGGAGTGACTTTCGTCTAACTAAATTTTCATTCCTGAGAGGATGAGGTTGTAAAGTGCCTCAAGCCGAACTGAAGAAATTGCTTGAGGCACTAAATCAACCACAACCGTGTTCACTTTCAAGTAATAAACCGTTACTGGGTAGGTTTTGTTTAGTATCCTTTTCATTAACATATTTCTATTGACATTAAAGCATTAGAACTCGATTGTTGTGTTATTCCTATTCGAAATAACTTGAAACTTATCCAAACAACCGACTTCTTTTATCCTCTGATTGATGATCCTTACACTATGGTTAGTTAAATGTCATTTTTACGCTAAGAAGACAGGGTCGAATTACGTGCTGTAATGTACTAAGTGATTTGTATGCAATGGGCGTAGTTGACTGTGATAATTTGCTTCTATTGTTGGGTGTTCCACGTGAAATGACCCAAGAAGAACGCGAAATATCAAATCGCTTATTGATGGAGGGTTTTAAGGTAGGTTACGTTGTTTTACGTATTGCAAAACATTTTCTGCTCTTTGAAGGACTGTGCATTGGAAGCTGGAACATATGTTCGTGGAGGACAAACTGTATTGAGTCCATGGTTAATGATTGGTGGTGTAGCAACTTCAGTTTGCAGTGATTCAGAGTATATTATGTAAGTTCCTCAATTATCCCGTTGTTTACATCAGTTAAAAACTACAGGCGAGTTTCTTCTATAGTAGTTAATTCCTGATGTACAATTAAATCAGTGGATGTGTTTTGCATGTGTGCCTAAATATTCAGGATTTTATGGAAAGAAACATCAGAATATTGATATTTTCTTGTGACTTAAAAATGTTTCACTTACAACTTATACATGGTTTATCTCCAGTACTCATAAAATCGATAATACACATTCACTAAGTCATTCAAGTACAATGCACTTTGGTACATTTCATATCGATTAATATTTTAGGCTAAATGAATAAAGGGATTCATATCTAATGGGTTGTTTTTAGCTTGACAATGGCAAACAATCCATGCAATTTTTCCACGTTGGTTTTTTATTGTAGACTTTCTATGCATCGACTGACAATAATTCTAATGTAGTTATATGCGTTATACATTGTGTATATACAAGTAAGTGTTTAAAATTAGATGGAAATAACTCAACCACTAAGTACCAATTAGTTTCATGCTGTTTTATTTGTTTTCGTGACAATTTTCTATCGACCAAATTCGCGACGTCATCTTATAGTAATTGACTTGGCATTTATCTAAATACTAAGCAATGTTGGTTCAATACATCCATCAAGCAAACTGTTAGAAGAAATGAACATAGATTAATGTATTAGAAAAGGATCAGTCTGACATAGTATTGGCATATATTCACACATAAACCAGGTATCAAACTTCTCGACTAATCGTAGATTTGTTTCAGTAACTAAACTATGCTCAAATAAACCCAGACAACGAAATATCGTCTACTGCATGAATCCGTTTGATTGATACAAACGTATCCAACATTATCATATTCAGTATACGTAGAATTATGATTATATAGACAACTTGGCCTCATTCCTAATTGTCATCCACTCTTTGTAGATTACTTCCTGATGATCTTTGGTTTTTATTTTCACTTTTTTCTCCTACCATCTTTTTTCGTACCACTGTGAATTATTACTACACAAATGGTTTACTATTTGTTGTATGTTTGACTTCACTCGGCTTAATAGTGCATTACTCTTCATTTAATTTTTAATGGTTTGTCAATATTTGGTCTCCTACTTTAATCAAATTTTAACAGGCCGGATCAAGCTGCAGTGGGTGACGTCTTAGTACTCACAAAACCTTTGGGCACCCAAGTAGCTGTTTCAGTTTACTACTGGATGCTGGAGGATAGTCCATCTTGGTCTGGAAATCTAGCCAGTATCATCACGTCAGATAAAGTAAAGAGTCTGTTTCATTCTGCTACTCTCTCCATGACTCATTTAAACCGAACAGGTTTGTGCGCTTCACCTAGTAAATATTGATTCTCAGATGTTAATTGATATGCTGTCGTACTAACATTTTCATAAATACATATCACTGTTCATCCTATACTTGTCGCAATAAAGTTAATCAATCAATATACAAAACAATTTCGACTAAGTTAGGTTTATAACCAAATTGCATTTCTTTATGCTCAAACACTAGACACTCAATATAAGGATTATTGGTTTTTGAATACGATAAACTCTCTCTATGTTAGTGAGACACATTATTTGTCATCAATAAGAAAGCATTTGCTTTCTATCAATTTCCTCAAATTTGCAGATTCCTTCTTAAAGCGTTCGTATTATTTAAATAAACCTACATAAGTGACAAAGTTGTCAGATCCTCATTTTGTGAGCTTCACCTCTCAAACTCTGCGTTATTCGGTGAGAAATCTGACGACCTTATTTTACACCGACAACATCATTGATCAACTCCTTCCCATAAAAATATTGGTAACAACACATCAGTCATTATTATCGTGAGATTTAGCATAGAGTGTGCTTCAGTTCAAAATGATATAACTTTCATCAGTACAGCGAGTCTAAGTAAATAAGATCAAAAGTTTAAGTTGGGAATTAATATCGAAAGCAATTAAATTCTAAACATGAGAACTGTATTCCAAAAGGAACAAATGATCTACTCATTTACGTTCGGGTCTAAGACTAATTAAAGCCTCGCATAATTACTGACTCCACTACTTTAGACAGTTATAGTTTAACTGGTTCAGTGTCAGTTAAATACGTGTTTTGCTCTACGATCCCACGATTCATCCAAATAATTTTATTTCGGAGAGGAATCTAAGCATTTATTGATGACGTCATAAAGCCACTTTAACTAACTTCTTATATGTTTCGTATAATTCTAAGTTTAAGATATTCAAGGAGATCAAAGCGCTTGGGTTAATAAGTTTTGTTCGTAACCGAGCGAGTGTATGCCCTTTCTTAATGATTTTTACTAAATGATTGATTTGGCATTTTCTCTTTTCTTTCTCATACAGTTAAGAGCAGTTTCTCAACCACATTCTAATTGTAAATCACACTAGCTATTATCCAGCTGACGACAAACTGCATTACCTTTCAGCTTACGCTTTTTAACTATCTTTTTCCGAATGCACTAAAGGAATACTTTGGGACAAAAATAATTACTAGTCATGTTCATGTGATGAAAGCACCGCATAAAAGCTATTAGAATTGAGTGTTTTCTTTTATTCTAATTTTTTGAGCTTGTTAATATCAGTACCGTAATTGTTGTTATGATGGTAATTTTTAGGTTAATTTTTCTCACTGCATTGTTGAAGAGCGGTTAGAATTTGAATTGACATATTTCCTCCTATTTTATATCTACTACTATGCATCAACGGTATCTTTCTGCTAATTCTAAGAAGCTACATATTTTGCTGACGAGAACACTTTATTTGTCATATACATATAGAAAATTAGGATGTAATGATGTGTTCATAAAGAGCTTATATTTTAATTGTTTATTGTAGCTGCTCGACTAATGCATAAACATCACGCCCACGGGTGTACTGACGTAACAGGTTTCGGTCTTTTGGGTCATGCAAATAATTTAGTCCAAGTTCAGGCAAACAATCACTTAGCCTTCAGCATTCATACTTTGCCGTGTCTTGAAGGAAGCTCGTTGATTTCCAGGGCATTAAACGATCGGTTAAAACTACTTCAAGGTTTTTCTCCAGAAACATCAGGTACTGTTTATTTTTGCTTTGTTGTTTATATCTGTGTTGAACTTGTATGCCTTACCATAATGTATTTGTGGCATTACGTTTGATATACTTATGGATAAACTTGATTATTCCTTCTATTGAAAATAATATTAGTTTTTCACCAAAACCTAGGTGGTCTGTTGATTGTTCTTCCCCGAGAATCTGCCCAATCTTTTTGTGAAGAGCTAACTGCTGAAATTGGATGTCCATCATGGATAATTGGAGATGTAATAGAAGCCGATTCAAAAAGCGCTTTCCTTGTTCCACAACCAGAAGTCATAGATGTTCAACATTCACAAATCATCCCACCAAAATGTTCGACTAATAGCCAGTAATTTTCCTTCCACATTTTCAAAAACTGAATCAATCACTCTTCGACCATATGATGCTGATGATCGAAAATGCTGCATGATCATTCAGCTGATGATGTCTTAAAGTGATTTGATTTAATCCATTTCCGAATATTCATATGCTTTTAATCAAGTATTCAATTATTTTGTAGTAGATTCAAGAAATGGTCACGTTCTATCTTCAGGCTTTTTGTAATGCAATATTGGAACTTTCGCAATAAAATTCTTGGAAACTCAGTCTCCAACTTTTGTGTTTACTTGGACTCCATCTATCTATAAGGCATTTTACACAACCAAAACTTAGCGGTTACCACTTTGCAATATCACTGTGACAGTATTTACACATATGAAACTGATTGTGTAGATTTCCAAATACAAACCTTTGGCTAAACGTCAGGCAATAATGTGTATTTTATCAAACCATAACCTTAAGAAGTCTACTGCAGTGTATCACGAGCGCTTAGTTGTTGTGAGTAATCCTGTTGGTTTTCCACTAAATATTTAAATCTCTTGAACTGATTTGTTTTCAGATTTACTTATCGACTTCGGTATTAGCTAGTAGTTGTATACCACATTAACCCTAAGCTGTAAAAGAAGTTTCGATATTTTTCGACATTTAGAATTGATAGATCATTTCTATAGAACAAGTTCATCGCTAAAAATTACCATCCCCTTGGTTTTATACAGTTGGACCGATGCATATATGTGCCTGGTCCTACATTGTAGCTGACTGATTGCACCGTTCAACAGACAATATATTGACCAACTTCCGCTACTGGTTATAATGAATTAATACACATATTTTAACTAGCTAAAATTTGTTCACTTATCTAGGTTATTACTGAATACTGTTATCGATTACCGATGAATTGAAGAACAAATACGGGACAGGGTATAAAATAAATGTTTTTTTATATTTTATCTGCTTAAATAAGTCAATTTTAAAATATTACAATGATTTGACAACTTAATAGTGTAATTTCTTTTATAATCAATTTTATATTAGCGTTGGCTTAATCATGCATCACTTATTCGTTATAAAAAAATCCGCAATGCGGAAAACTCATCAGTTTACTTTTCGAGAGGAAGACTTACTAAACAATAGATAAAATTAAGCTTAATAAATACATTAGAAAAGTTACTTTTCTGTACCATTATTGCAAGAAACGGGACTAGTTCTTGTAACATGGAATGTTTTAGAAAATAAATTGACTTCCTAAGAGAGACGGTTATTCAAAGCGACTGAGTTGGCGTTCTCCGTGTTGTATTTGAGGATCCTGTTTTTTTCTTGTGTTGAGGCCAACTGATGCAGAGGCTGCTGCTACACTAATTGTCTTCATCTGCATTTGTTCGTGTGTATGGCATAAAAGGGTCAGATCATTTGTGAAGTCCAAATCTTTTGATTAAAATAAAAGACCTACAGGCGAAGTTAGACGTATTCTCGTCATATTTCAGGTTTCGGACTATACTTTGTACTAACTTTACTATGACGAAATTAAATACAAGATACGTGAATAGTTAACCGGAATCAGATGTAAGGCACTAATTATGAGCAGTAATTGTCAAATCACGCTCCGCACAAGACTAATAAGAAAAGACTAGATAGATTATTCTCGACAATTACGCTCATTACATACAATCTCTCTTCAAGCAACTCGATATAAATTACATACCTAAAATAAAACAATGTCATTTGTTTACCTTCATTTTTGGTCAATGTGAATCAGAAAATTTTGCTTGTGAACACTGGTTTCCTATTACACTCTACAACATTTGTCGAACAAAAAGCTATGACGTCGCAAGTACAATTAGCGAGAGGCTGAACACTGCACTAGCCAGGACTTACCCGGCTGCCAAACTATTAATTCTGTATAAAACATGCTCAATAACTCAATGAAAGGTTGAAAAGTACTCCTTTCGTGTTACCGCCAACTGTATTTATAAATTTACATGTGCCTGCCAAAGCAACCACATTGGCCGAACAGAAAAGATATCTTAGATTTTTTGAGTACATTCCAAAAAGCCTCAGAAAGAGAAGAAAGACTCTAAACAGTGCAATCACTAAAGATCTCTTAGATACAGGACATCAGGTCGATACCCTGCAATCTGTCTATGTGATTAGTAGGCAGACGAACTTGTCTTTTGAAGTTTGCTGAAGCCGTTGCTATCAGGTGTCAACAACCTGACTTATGTGTTCAAAAGTGGATAATTATTAATCTTTCATTGCCTTGGTGACAAATATTCCTTCGTTGCATCTTAAACTCTTTTCTTTAACCTTTTCTTACATCATTGAGTTTTCATTTCAACTATCTTCCAGATTAGTAATCTTATTTTATCAACAGTGCTTTACTCATTTTATTCCTATCACTGTTTGCTCATTATGTAATCACTTGTTTCTGGCCGTTTGAACTGTTGTCACAATGTTGCAGAATTTTCTTTTACATAAGGTACATATTTGTAATATTTAGTCTAGTAAATTTATTTACACCCTTGCTGTACTATCGTGTCTTTAACGTAGCTTCCGACTAAGGACTTTCATGAACTTATGCTCTTCTGCTAGAATCGTTGTTCTTGCTCTTTTCCAAAGGATAAAAAGAACTGTGTGAAAAAAAACTACGTATTTACAACATAAACCTGAAATGTCTATCTAGTCGCAGAAATAAGTGAACTTTGTCGGAATTTGATTCGCAATTACTGATCAGTATGGGATTCAGTTCTATATTACAAAGATGACCATTAGATATCCAATAGGTCTGTTCTTCAATCATACAGTTGTCAATTTCCTTCACTCTACCCCAATTTTTTATAAACCTCTTAATAAATCAGACTATCACATGTGGATAATCGCTAGTCAAAGATGTAAAACGACAAATGTTGAACAGCCAAATACGTCTATATGATTGCAGGATGTGTGTTTAAACCTTAAGAAGAAAAATGAAATCGAAGCATAATTGGGAGGAACTGGGTAGTGATTCAAAAACTAAAATTCTGTTTTAAAAGTCATTTTTATGACTATCTATTAGATTCATATACGTTTTCTCCGTCAAGGATAAGTAACAGAAACATTCAAAATGACAAATTATTCTATCTAGAAACAAGCTGATTATCAGAATATATCTTTTGAAGTTAACCAGTTCCCCTAAACCAGGTTGCTTTCAAAATCAGTTAAATGAATTTCAAAAGCCATTTAAAGCTTCGACTGTAATTCACGTAATAATATGCCGTTTGGTTCAGCTATAATGTATGCTTCTGGCGTTTAGTCAACTCATTTATGCAGAAGTAGAAGACATTACGATCTGACTGCTTTGTAAATCATATTTCGTTGGTGCCATCAAGCTGAAAAATAAATGAAGTACCTTCGCAGAGAGACAAAGTGGTTATAAACAACAGATTTCCGAGTTTATTATTTTAGATATCACCAGATAGAAAACGGCTTACTCTGTTAATTAGATTAGACGATAGGATGGAATCAAAATTTGTAAACAACCCAATCACACTGATAATATATTTCTCTACACTACTAGTAATTTTAATAAGTAGTACGATTACTAACGTTAAATATTATGTAGGTAATTGAGGATAATACATACCACGTAAATTATCCAAGTCGATCTTGTATACATGTGGTTCTCAAAATTAGAGAAGTGCTAACAATGTAAAGATGACTCTATGATGAAATTTTCCCCACTAATAAGTTATTCATAAGCTGACTGTTTTAGACACGGTACACATTCTCAAACTTGATGTGAGAAAACACTACTAAGTACTGACAGTTACTTTATGAATAAAAATCCGAGGCGTTTGATTTCTTAAGTACATGAAATTTTTGGACCGATTAGCAAATTTAGAAACTAGAGGGTGTTTTTGGTTATTCTACTTGGAAACTACACATTGCTCTATTTGAGCTCATTTAAACAAGATCAACCTATAAACCACTGACAACTCTTATCATCACGTTTAAAAATCTTGATATGATTGTATCAATCCATCTTCTTATTAATTCTTAAACTTTTATTCGTACTAATCACGATAAAAATTAGTTGCAAACAAAATAATGTGATTATTAAGATAGTGGAAAATTTATAGCATACAAAGAAGTATGACCACATTAGTAATGCAAAAAGTAAATGTCGCAATCAAGATTATTGGGAATACTACACACTAAATAACGTTATCTGTGAACAGACACTACGAAATTATCTAGCATTTACGCGGAACTGATGAATATAACATCGAAACTTTTGACATTTATAAAGATGAGCATAGGGACAAACATATAAAGAAATAGCCTGGTTTTAGTAAAACAGCCTTGAGAACACACCTCAAATTTCATATACTAAAACCAATAAAATCGACACGAAAACTACTGACATTTGTCTAGGTTTTAGAATGCAGTTTCCCATTAGCAGGGAACAAAGGATTACTTGAGAAGATTCATATCTGTGTTTGGACGAGATGAATGGTTCCACAACAGTCTGTTTTATTTCATTTGTATTGGTTGTTTGAATGTGAGTCCTGGATTCCACTGCCAGCCACTAACCATCTCTGCTTATAAGCACGTTTTAATTGTTGAACTCGTAAGAAATTTAATTTTTCGGAGATCAATATTTTCATATTATTATTTACAACTGCTAACACGGGTTTAATTCTAACTAAGAATATGAGAACTCATAATAAGGTATAGAAATCTCTAGATGTTGTGAACTTGGAGGGCAAAGTAAGGTAAGGCAATTACAGCCAACCTTATTGTCATTTCGAGATGATGAAGAGACATAATGTGTGTCTCCGTATAAAAAATGCGATGTTACTAGACACTTCAAGTGCATCCATCATCAATAAATGGTTAAACCAGCTTTGTCTAGAGTCCGGAACCAAGAATAAAGACCAGTGGCGGGCAACATCAACACGTTTAAAATATAGAGGAATGCCAAACTACTCACCAGTTAGCCCTCAACGACTTCCACACATCTGAGAAGTATAATGAAACTAAATGTTTTAGACATGATTAGTAATTGGCTTATACCCTGACAATTATCACGTGCGTTACACATGTCCTTGGTGACGATGAGTGAGATCATTTTAATCTAGAATCGTTAAGCACTTGTACTTCACCATTGAATTCCGAACGGTCCAGTAAGTTGTTCAGTCAGAATATCTCTGTCATCCATGAGAGAAACCGAGATTTATTAATCTCCATCAAGAAATGTGTAACTTTTGAGTAGATGAAGTTCTTTGTAAATCACAAATATGTTACTCAACTAGTTACCTTTCAGGGATAGCAAACTTCGGTCGGAGTTACTTAAGCAATTGGCAAATTAAAGCATCCTTTTTAGTTGCTCCAAATAAGAGAAATGTGCCCAGTGTTTTACCAAGTATCCCCCAGAATTAATTATCAGTCGCCAAGAAGTTGATTGTTTATAAGTAAATTTTGCACAATCATAAGCAAATTTGTTCGCTACTGACACGTCTTGTAAATCAAATCAGTCGCCCATTTATTTATTTAAACACAAAAATATTGGTAAAAGAAAGTACCAAATATATATACACCATACTTCGTCATTCGATTTGTGTGAGGCTGGGATACAGCCCGGGCGCCCAAACCTAAGCAGGTGGTTTTCTTAGGAGGCCACTTCTCAAGCCTTTGGCTTAGAGGTTTAATTCTCAAGGTAGTAAATCAACGTTAGGAAATGCAGTCTTATTACCTCTACCACTACGGGATTTGAATCGACCACTGCATCTCTGTGCTAGTGTGGTGTGGCAACTCGAACTGATGTGCGTACGTACGAAGTTCTACGTTGTTACTGACTGACTGACTGCAGTCTCATGGTAGCCAATGGCTAACAACAGGTTCATATGCCTTTTGTTCATTCAGGAGACTGGAGCCCACGTACACTATAGGTTCGGAATCAGGGTTTTTTAACTCCCCCAGATGAACCCTCGGTATCCACCAAACAGTCGCCCATATACATACTAGTGATTTAAAAATTATTCTTGAATCTAAAATAGTTTGATGTTTGATAAAAATGTGAGTTTATATTTCAATCACCTGTTGGTAACTACGGTGATTTTCCAAGTCATAAACCCACGAGTTAACTGATTGTAATAAGTCCAGGTTTGAATTGCACAGGTAGAAATCCTCGTATCTTATAGGCTATGATTGTGTACTGATTAAAAATAAGTTATTATGTACGCCAAGCTGTAGCAGACGGTTCTTACTATCCTATTTGCAAGTAATATGTTACTATGGGCTTTTTAAATGAACTTTTTGTGTTTAGATGCCTGGTCTATAAATTTAAATCCTTGGCTAGTTATCAGAATAACTGTCGAGTCCTAAATGTTAAGACCCTTACATACAGTTCGGAATCTTTTGGAGTTGTTGTGTAGTGGGTCAATATAAATATTGTAGGTTAACTGTTTTACTAATAACTGTGAACAGGTATATTTTACTGGAAAATGAAAGCTACTCACACATAGTAAAGTGACGGGACACACTACAATACGTTATCATTCACCACTAAAGATTTTAAAAGTCATCACCGAATGGAACTAATTGCCATAATAAAGTTTCCACTTGACTATCAGGTGACTTGCAACTTATTTGGCAGATAAAAATCATACTTGGGCGTGCTGTGTAAATGCAAGGTGGTATGGATTAATTTTTATTTTCAAGTAGTTTCTTTAAATTAGACCATTCACTAACAGCTAAGTACAAGTTACCATAAAATCGAAGGGCATGATTTTCAAACGACCGATGATCCTTCCTATGCCACCCATCCACGGAAGCCAACTTATTGATCAGGTTACGGTTCATTTTTCTAATTCGTCTCCAATAATAGTAGGAATTTTTATCAACCTCTTCAAGAGGGGGAGAACCTCTATCTGTCCGTAATTTCCAGAGCCAATCCGGATACTCACTACGGGGGTTAATTATAAAAAATCCATACTTATCTGGCTTCAGTGGAATAGGTTGTTCACCTATTCTATAATTAATACAGCAGCAGTTTACAATTTTCTCTGGATCTGTCTCCACATTAATTTCACGTATTTTAGCGACAGCGGCAATTCCTTTGGCTAAAAAAATGAAACAAGTCGATTGAGAACTAACTTGTTTTCCCTTTTTTTGCATATTTCCGGGTGAATGTACACAGAACATTATGGTAAAATTTGAATGTTGACATACAGTGATCTTTAAAAAACCAAAAAACCAACAGAAATTTGATATGCATAGTAAAACAATGGTAATGATAAACAAAATGACTTCATAAAGAACTATTTCTAGGTGTCCGTACGTTTTCAACCCGTGATGTAATTATATGTTTTGGAATATTTTTAGAACTGATAGAAGTAATTCAGAGAAACTCGAAGTAAAAATAAATGCTCTGTTTAACTTAGTTCAGATTTTTACGAGTGTTCGCACAAAGTACATCACGCTAAATCAAAACATCAAACCGTATTCCCTGTAAAGGAAACACCCACTTCAATATAATTTACTATTTGAATTTCGCTTGTCACTTCTCATAAATTGAAAAATTCTGCAAGTACCAAAGCAATCGTTAATTTAAAGGAACATAATGTTCTGAAACCTATCGCGACTAGATTCTAGCAGATGATTAGCGTACTTTTAGTGTTAAATATGTGTATTCCCCATCTTAAGCTATTAAAAATGACGCTACATTAGTGTCAGCAGGGAACAAGTACATAATTCCGTAATCTAGTTATATTTAGTAGTTGAAATAGTTAATCCATTGATACCACAAATTGTATACATACACTAAATTGCTGATGAATTAGCGCCAACCACTGTTCGACACATTTGAGTTTCACCTAATCAAAGCTCGTGAAGAGCAGACTAGAGAAAACTAGGCCGGTTTTCGACCTGGACGTGGTTGTATAGATCAGATATTCACACTACGTCAGGTTCTAGAACACAGACACACATTCAGACGCCCCACAATGGTAGTATTCCTCGAATCTTAAGGCGGCATTCGACTCTGTTGATCGTGAGGTTCTATGGCAGTGTTTGTCACTGAAAGGAGTACCAAAGAAGTACATTAACCTTATAAAGGCTCTCTACTCGAACACAACTGGTAGAGTGAGAGCTTATGGCGAACTGTCATCAGAATTGATTACCTCAAGTGGTGTTCGTCAGAGCTGTCCACTCTCCCCATTCTTGTTCAACTTTGTGGTCGACATACTTTTAGAGATAACACTCTCCTCATCTAAATTTCCACGGGTTGAACTTGTACCGGGAGGTTCACTTGTTGACTTACAATATGCCGAAGACATAGTTTTATTTGGCGAAGACGCTGACAAAATGCAGTCTTCTGACTACTCTAAGCAACAATGCAGGCATGTTCAGGATGCGATTCTCCCCGTCGAAATGCAAAATATTGCTTCAGGATTGGGTTGTATCGGCACCTGAACTAATGATAGAGAGTGAAGTAGTTGAGCGTGTCGACCGCTTCACTTATCTTGGAAGTCTCATCAGCCCTTGTGGTCTGGTGTGCGACGAAATCTCTGCACGGATACAGAAGGATCGACTAGCTTTTGCCAACTTGCGTCATTTATGGCGTAGGCGAGATATCCGTCTATCAACTAAAGGACGGGTTTACTGCGCAGCAGTTCGTCCCGTCCTACTTTATGGCAGTGAAACATGGCCGGTAGGAGTAGAGGATATTCGTAGGTTACTAGTATTCGATCATAGGTGTCTTCGAAACATTGCTCATATATCATGGGACCATCGAGTAAGTAACACAGTTGTTAGGAAACGGGTACTAGGTAAGGATGGCAAATCAATTGATGAAGTAGTGAAACTTCATCAGTTGAGATGGCTGGGACACGTGTTACGTATGCCCAACCACCGACTACCTCGACGGGCAATGTTCAGTGGTATAGGAGTAGGTTGGAAGAAAGCTAGAGGCGGCCAAACCAAAACATGGCACAAGTCCATGAAGTCACTGACAAGTGGACTGAGTCATGTTGGTAGGTGTAGACTACCTGGTTGGAGACCACGAGATGATAGCAACCGATGGTTAGAGACCCTGAATGACATGGCTCAAAATCGTTTGCAATGGCGCAGGTGCATCCACTCTCTGTGTTCTCCCAAATTCTAATCTTCTGAATTCTTCATGTCCCTTTTTTCCTCTTTCCAAATTTATTTCACTGGATTATACTCTTTAAATAACATCTCCAAACCCTAATCTTCCCTATTACTGCTTATACTCTTGCTACCTCTACCACTATGGGATTTGAATCGACAAGTGCATCTCTGTGCTAAGGTGGTGTGGCAACTCGAACTGATGGACATACGTACGAAGTTCTACATTGTTACTGACTGACTGACTGAGACAACTGAATGACAACGTGACGTGTTTTTAATGATGCGGTTCATAATAGGTCTAGAGCTAGAATAGATCAATCGTTTGTGCAGTCTTACTTTCTTATATCGATCTGTATCATTCTTTGTTCAGTCGTAACAAGCAGTGAAAGACAGTTGTCTTCCAGTTAAAACAAGCAGCCAACGCAGTAACTCGTCCCAGTCACAACAGTTAGTGATAACGGTCTCTAGAGTAGCGGTAGCCCAGTAGTCAAATTATCAAACTCTCAGTTGTTGTTACTAGTTTTGATCGTGTTCCAATCACAAGTTGGGATATTGAATACTTCCATTAGCTTTTAAACAGAGAACATGGACAAATGACTGATTAATGTGCCGTAACACCTCAATATGTATTAAGAGATCTCGATGCTTTTTCATCCATACGCTGAAATGATGGTCCTGATAAGTGGAATAGGGAGGCTCGTTACCATTTTAATATTTAAAATCATTTCGAACGCAATAGGAATTTATAACGTATGTCCACTTAGAGAATTACAATCATTTAATAATTCAAGAAGACGAAATGTCATAACGTAGACTTAACTGGTTTTTAAGTATCAGATAAAGAGCACCTGTCTGAAAAGCCACACATATAAAGTTTTTGGCAGATTAAGAAACGTAATTTATTCTAGAGCACTAATAAAGCCTTTTGATTAGTGCAAAGGTGGAAATGAACAAAACAATCTAGACTTAATGACTGCTATACCGATTTATAAAGGACAAAGATCCAGGAGAAAAAAACATGTGACAATCTGGGAAAGATTGGCCGATATATGGAAGAGGAGTCCAAATGCAAAGTACGTTTTAAATCTTACTAACAAACGATCGAGTTGCGATGTCTGGTTTACATATAAACCATAAATGTGGCTGACTGCAAATGTTTTCGACTATTCACCTATTTCGATTTAAATGTGTATTTTTTTGTGCCATGAAAACACTAAATGAACGTCTTAGGAATGTGTTAGAGACACAACCTCGAGCTTCTAACCTTAGTGCAACGTTTGGGTCGAACCGAAGGCTTGAGGTGTTCAATATCCAACACCTTTGTGAAATGCTAAAATTAACTAGTTGATCTATTATAGGAACAAAAACGGTTTTAAAATAATGGAAGTATCAAAAGTATTCATTTTGCGTCATTGATTGAGGCGAATTTGACAGATTTATGCAGTTTGGTATGTTCTTGGTGTATCTGACGTTCAAATGGTTCAAATGGTTGAGGACGGAATAGAAGAAGCTTTCGCTTATTAGGCTTCCGTGCCTAGTAGCAGGGGGTCACCAAATACTCCAGGCAGGAACCTAGGTATGTTAACGACAAAAGAGGAAAAGAAATTGGTAAATCATAGTATGATGCTGTCCTTGGTCCTTAAGAATAGGTCAAGTTGCATCTTGAGGGACTCCTGGGAAGTCACTTGGACTAGCTCGGCCGGCAGCAAGTTCCAGCATTCGATAACTCTTAAGGAATAGAAGTTACGTCTTCATTCCGTTTTGCTATGTTGTGTCTCCAGTTTCTGGGTGTTACCCCTTAGGTTAGTTTTCGAACTAAGCTTAAGTAGGTGTTTAAGAGGATGTCCAGAAGTGTTAAGGATGCTATAAGCCATCAGAAGATCATCTCTAAGACGCCTATACTCTAATGGGTAAAGTTCTAGTGAATGGAGGCGCTCTTCGTAAGGTCCCCGAACTGATTTCGTGGCTTGCCGTTGGATGCGTTCCAAAGTGTCCTTATCCTTTTGGAGTGAGAGGTGAAGGACTGTTTCCGTGCTCTAAGTGGGGACGGATGAAACTATTGAAGATTATATGGAAAGTTCTCCCGTCGAACTGTCCAAAAATGAGCTTCAACGTTACCAGTGCAAGGTTTGCTCGGTAGGCATTTTTGTCACAGTTAGCGTAAGACTTCAAATCATAGCATACCAGGACTCCTAAACCTTTTTCTACTTGGGATACTACTAGAGAGGAGTTTCCTAAGTTACAACTGTAGTCTGTGACATGTCGCACATGGACCACTTTACACTTTGAAGTGTTAAAAGTAAGTCCATTATTATCTGCCCAACTTAGGATTCCAGTCAGATCCTCCTGAAGTGCCTGTATATCGTCTTGATTGCGTATCTCTCTCCAAAGTTTAACATCATCGGCAAGGAGTAATAATTCTGACCTCACCTGTTTAGGAAGATCATTTATGTAGATCAAGAAGAGAAGAGGCCCTAGTACTGAGCCCTGGAGGACCCCACTAGGACATTCCATAGCCTGAGATAAAGTGAAATTAACCATAACATTAAAGTGTCGATTTTTCAGGTATAAAGTAAGCCAATCGATTGGAGGTGGTCTGATACGCAATCGTTTGAGCTTATTGATAAGACATAAATGGTTAACCTTATCAAAAGCTTTTGAGAAATCTAGGTAGATGATATCAACCTTCCCCTTGTGATCGAGGATGCTTGTCCATCTGTCCACCGCAGTCAGCAGGTTGGTTATGCAAGAGTAGCCCTTCCTGAAACCATGCTGTTGAGGTGAGAAGAAATTTAAGGACAGTAGATAGTCGTATACACCATCACATATCAGGGACTCCATGAGTTTTGAAAGTAATGACAGAGGAGCCACTGGCCGATAACTTGAAGGTTCGCTGCGTCGACCTCCTTTGAAAATTGGTGTGATGTGAGCCAACTTCCAATTTTCCGGTAGTTTAGCTCGGCTTAGCGAGTGTGAGAACATCACGCTAAGCGGCACTGCCAGGATTGAGGCTGCTTCCCTCAGTATGTCAGAATGGACCACATTCGGGCCAGGAGAAGTGTCTAGTCTTAAGTGCTGCAATTTACGGAACACCAAGTCAGCGCTTAGGTTCACTTCGGAAAGTTCTGTGGAATTGCAAACGAAACTGTCATCAGTAAAGTTAATGTCGGTCGGTTGAAATGTCTGGGAGTAGTGCTCAACCAGAAGGTTAGCGGCGTCGCCATCGTTGTTGGTTGGGCCGTTAAGACCTAGCAGTTGGGAAACTCCAGTTTTGGCTTGACGAAGAGAGGCTGCATAACATAATAAGCTTTTAGAATTAGAGGCAAATTTGTCCATAAGCTTTTTCTGGTACTGAAGCCTGTCTTCTCTTATAGCCTTCGTGCAAATTTTCCTTATATATTTACATTGCCTGTACGCTCCGTCGTTGTCAGTTCGTTTGTATTCCGCCCAACAGTGCCTTTTGCGGCTTAGCAGGAGAAAGGTACGGTTCTTGATTATTGTAGGTGGCTTGCAGCTTTTGGGAACTGTTTGAGGAACTGAATGGTTTGTAGCACATAAGAGTGTGTACAGTAAAAAGTCCCAATGACCGTCCATATCGAGTTGAGGGTGAACATCCCAATCCACCTGTTGTAGATAGTCGTGTAGAGCTGGCATATTCAACCGTTTAAAATTCCAACGCAAGTTATTGGTGGAATAGCTTAGTTTAGTTTTGCCGACGTATTTGACATATTTTACTTAAGGCAGTAGTATTATTGGAACCAGCAACCTTCATACAATTTTCTGGTCGGTTTATTGGAGCTATACAGTGGCTAAACGTTCGTGTCAGAATAGTGAATATTAGGAAGTAGGTAATCCTTTAATGTGTTCATGGATACTAAGTTTCCTCTTGAAAGAATCCCTAGGATGGATTGTGAATAAACCAGCTGGGACATGATTCCAGGAAGAAAAGATTTGCAGTACAAACAGCGTGATATCACACTTAAGTAATTGCCCTTTGATAATTTACCTCACAGTGGTTACATAGAGATTTGGAATGATGAATTTCAAGTAGATCTACTGTATTAAGCTGACACAGACTTTAAACACTTTCTAAAGTTTAAAGATTACTTTGCCCTTTAACTTCTGGTTCTTGCATTCACTATCAGTTGCTCTAGTAGTTTTTCCTCCTGATTTGTTGCATGAGATTCTTATTCTCTTCAAGAAGATGAGGTTTAAGTAACCTAAGTTTGTGCACACCACATCATTTAACTGGACTCTTGTTTGGTATGCTTCTAATTTTGTTTGCCCAATGTAAAAATGACTGCGAGCTAGATTATTTCGAGGAAACCCTGAACTCACCTGATTTATTTTCGCCTTCGTCTAATTATTTAGCTCCAACAAACAGCATATTAGCACAGTTAGGATGATTGAATTGCATCGAAACACTTCGGCATTCTTAGTTTTGGAAGTACAACCATAGTAAGAAACTCACCATTTGAGAAAATTTGGCGCTGAAAGTTTCTAGATGCCTTAACTGAGATCACAATGTTTAGTTGGCTTCGAAATTATTAGGAGATAGTATAAATTTAGTAGTAGACCTATATTTTCTTTCGACAGAGGACATGTAACAGCAGAAGTTGGTCGACTAAGAAACCGCCGTCAACCTCCATTTTAAAAAAAATTATTAAAGCTAAAGTATATACATACTTCCTTACTTTATGCAGACATTACATTTCTTACCATGGTATTTTGAATGTTGGAGGCTTTTACGTGTTTAAATTAGGACCTGGCACAATGACTGTTCTGTTTCAAGATATATTAGTAGTGGTATGATCATAAGCTGCGTTGAGTTCGTTCATGAAAAGTATGGAGTGCGAAAGTCTTTTCTTCAGCGTATATTGATGAGCAAGGATCGCAGTTGGGCTAATCAATTTAATGGCACGATATTTGACTTCATGTAGATAGTATGAACAATTGTCGTCAAAATATGCATCCCGGCCAGCCTCGTATATGACCATCGTCTTAACCGTTGCTAGTAAATAAAAGAATTAAAATAGGTTAAATAACAGAATGAATCTCGAATATGTGTATTTCACACAGTCGTTGATATGGGCGGATAATCAAGGAAACGAAGCGAAAAGAATAAAGAGAAGCGGAGCGAAATGACATGCAGTGGAGGAGGCAAGTGAGTCAACTCGATTTAAACAAGCGTGAATAAATACTTGGGATCAAAATGAAATAATCCACAAGTATTTGATGAATGGGGTAAGTAATTAACACACATGAGACCACATAAAAACAGTGAAATTTAATGAGCATATAAGCAACAAGGTCAAAATGTGGCTCGAAAAGAATGAATAAATTTGTCCAGAAAATAGAATATTTTATGTGTGCTGGACATGGTACCAGCCACCAAAACGTCTCTCTGTAGAAGATAGTTCATTATGCGGAAAAATGTCTGTTTTCGAAAATATCTCGGAAGATGCAGGTGGTTAACGTTGACGATAATTAGTGAAAAAATTTGCACTTCACTCGGTAGAGTACATGTAGCGTGGGTGGTGAGTATTATACGAAAGTGCCATAGTTAAGTAGACATAACAAATGAATATTGTAGAGACGCGAACAATAATGAAATGTCAGCATGCGATTATGAGCAAAATACCAAGCGTATAAAAATTAACATGCATTATTTTCGTGGCTGTCTGGATGATAAAGTAACATGATCGCATGATAAACTTCAAATGCCATGAAAAATAAGTAATAAACCGTTTGTCGCTCGTGGATATGACAGCGGAATAAATAAAGAAAATAAGTAAGGTAGAATATGATAGCAATTAATATGTGGTGTCGACAGAATGTAAAAATAAAGAATGGAGGAATGTGAACATGTTCTAATGATCAGCAGTGGAGTGAGTTATGATGACTATCAACTAATAAATTCAGATATGAGGTTTGTGTTAGATAGAAACAAACCAACCATAAAATGACAATTGCATCAATGTGTGATAATCTTTGTTGTACTACAATAAGTGATAACCACAAAACGCGGAGTCAATGTGCATTTTCGTTCCCATCATAACGGGATGAATCAAGTTATCATTAAGTATGTGCTGGTAGAATGATCAGAGGAACAGAATAGTGGCTGCGGAGGCGAACTACGCGGAGTCGGGTTTCTTCTTGGTCGTGAAGCCTAGCTTGTTTTATGGCGTTTGAAGGGTACGTATTCGACTCCGTTTGTTACGAAGCCGTACTAAGGTATCATAAAAATACCAAAATATAAGGTTGTTCATAACAGGCAATTAGAACTGACTTGAATATGACAAACAAGAGTGTATACTTGGGAGACTAGATCTAAACTTCATGCCCCGATATACGATGTGACGAGGATAGAATATTCATTGCAATTTGACATTCTATGATACATGATGGAAAGCAAAATATTCGTGGTAAACACAGGTCATATGACAGTAAATTTTGTGTCCAGTGAAAAAGACGATAAATATCTTCATCAAGTAAACCGACAAAATGACACTATATCGCAGCATATCAGAGATAAGCAACATTCCAAAAACAAGCGAACTCAGGCTCGACAGAAGAATGTAAACGCCCAAGGTTAAGGCGATAAACAGGAAGTGAACCAGAAATTTCCAAACATATTTGCAGCAGAAAAGCCCGAACTCAAACAAAAACAGCTAGCATCACCTGTCTGAGGTAATTTGATTTACTGTGACAGAACCCTTCGCTCACAATAATATGAGTAAAATAACTTTCAATCCGTTCTTCGTTAATCTTATTCTGGCGTAAAAGCTAATACCAAACTAATGTGAGATGTTTATGAACAAATTTAATCCCATTAATCAAAACAAGGACTTATACGGGTAAATGGGGTGTTCGGACAAATTGGGAGTAAAGGAGGGACGTGGGGATGATGTCAGCAACTCCATCCCGTAGAAAACAAACTTGCTAAGACAATGCTAACCAGAATAAACAAATTAAACTACTTCAACTCTCCCGTGACACTTGAGTAGTCCTCTTTCAGAAGAATTATCATACCACATAGTGAAAGCCGAGATTCTTTGGAAGTCAGGAGGCCGATGTACATTCTAACAACCAGAACAACTGTTAACATAGGTACATAGAATGTCTGAACAATGATAGAAACCTGGAGGACCAGTAAAATAGCTAATGAAATGAGGAGATACAACATGTTCGTGCTCGAAATCAATGAAACCCATTAGACTCAAGGTGGTTAGAAAAGATTAACTTCAAAAGAAATGCCGCTATACTTAAGTCACGAAGAAGAAAGTGCTCCACACATCCATAGAGTTGCTTTGATATTGTCCGAAAAAAGCACTTAAGGCACTTATAGGATAGGAATCTCATGGATCCAGGATCATCAAAGAATCTTTCAAAACAAATGAGGGAATCACAATAATTGTTATCCAGTGTTATACAAAAACCGTTGATGGCGACGACGACGACAACGATCAATTTTATGACAGGCTGCAATCGATCATAGCGAAGTGCTCAAGAAAGGACCTGACCATCCTTATGGGAGGTCCACACGCCAAAGTCGGGATGGACTACACTGGGTATGGAGATATCGTGGGATGACTTGGACTGACTGGCAGAAAGGAACGAGAATGATGACAGATTTGCAAATTTATGTGCATTCAACAAAGAAGCTATATACAGCACTATATTCCCACATAGACGCATATACAAACCTACATGGGTTTCACCGGATCACAGCCACGACCCAGCCTATAGACTTAGAAACAACGCATATACACTACTTACCGTAAAACACCAAAAACAAATGCGTTGTAAGTTTTTTACAGTACGGTATAGTTTATTGTGGAACAGGCTGCCAATGCCTATCCGTAACTGTGATACGTTTATCATATTCAAAAAGCTAATAACCCTATTTCTAGACTCTAAAGAGCTTCAACATTTCCTTAAACTCGCGCCCACTAATGAGGCACTTTATTACGGACCGCCTAGTATCTAGACATAACAAGAATATAACGAACCCGACTGTTAATAATATGAATATAACTGAATTACTGAACATATGGCTTATCCCTTCCTATTAGTGATTGTTTATTATTCATGGCCTTATGCTCCTAACCCTAGCTTTCAGTTCCCAAATCTCTCTACAGGTTAAATGTACATTATTCTTCCTAAAAGTCATGCCTCTTTTTTTCTATTGCAAGTAGACAGATAACTCACTAACCTTATGGATGCTGATCTACTAAGGCCGATCATACAAATCTCAAAATCTGACCACATAGTCTTGTGATTTTCTCAATGTTTTATTTGTCTTACCCTGAAATCTTCTTCTTTTCTTCTACAATTTTATACCCTCTCATATCTTTTGATTTGCTATTAGTCCTTACTCCTTTAAACCATTAGTTATTTTCATAGCAGTGTGATATACTATATGGACATCTAACCCATAAAACAAACTTTTCAACTATCTGATTTGCTTGTAACATGGACTTAGTAGAGACAGTGTATTCCAACTATGGGCTTTGATTAAAGCAGTATTCATACTTACCATAAACGTAAGAGAGCCTAACATCACAAAAGGAGGGAGGGTGGCGTTACTGACCAGCAAACATGATGGTGGGGAGATAAATTCAATCCACCCATGTCTGTAGGGCAGAACATTTTGTTTAATTACGGCTCCTTATGATTTAGTGGGATGTCACGAACTTATGGTATTGAAGCTGATTTATCACGCAAAATACCTCATTAAATCGTGTTACGAACGTTGAATTGGTTTCACTTCCTACCCAGTAATCCTATTACAAGCAAACTAGACAATTCACTAATATACGAAGCCTACTCAAGACCCTATAATACCTGAAAAAAATAATAATACAAAAAAGGGCTCTAATAGCTTCGATAAAAAAGGAAGACAGCCAATTGTATATCACAATACTGTTTCGAGCACCATATTTTATTTTATTTTATAACCACACATAATCCCATACTCTCAGCTCCTTTCTGAATCGCCTCCATTTGTCAGTTGTATGTCCACTCACACCTTGTTAACACTTATTTTCTTTAACCTATTAAATGCTCTTGCCTAACAAATACCTTAATAAGAGAAAATAAGACTGAGTAATCATACCTTAGACATTCCTGCATGAATATTGGCTATCCTGCCTCTCGTCCCAAGCAACACAAAAAGGGGAAATAAAGGCGAAGAAAGGAGAAATAAAGCGGACGAAAGCGTAAATAAAGAGGAAATGTCGCTTTTTCGCCTTTACGTCGGTTATTTAGGGGAAATGTCGCTTTTTCCCCTTACGTCGTGTATTTGGGGGAAATTTGTCGACAATTCGACGTAACGTACAGTGTTTGAATGAACCTCCTGCGGAAAGGAAGTTTTCATAAAATTCGACAAATGTAGGCACCGCTTAATAAAGAAAACAAAACTATTGTCATAAAAACAAGGTACGAAATAGGGAATCAGGCATTCGGTTGATA